AAAAATGCTCTGCTTTACCCAAGATTTTGAGATCCCCCTCCCAGGTTAGTTTAATGGGAGGGTGATCTGCTTTGAGAATCACAAAAGAGGGGTGATGAGGCTAGGTTCTGGTAGAGTTGAGGCCTTTCAACAAACAGTAGCTTTTCCCTGGGGCTATTTTGTGAAAAATTCACAGAGCCCACCCTGGAGCCATTCTCAGGGTTTCTGTTTTTCAATTGATTGTGGAGGCTGCTAGAGGGAGGGGCAGCCTCTGGCTCTGGTTACCCAGTGAGGAAAGCCACTCCAATGGCTGGTGCCTGAGCTGGGTGACTTTTCCCTGGATGGAGCTGAGTCTGGCAGGTCACTTTGCCATTAAGTTCTTGTGACCTGTTAAATGACTCGTTTTATTCCAAGGCCTGAGTTGGAGCTAGCAGCTCCTCTGAGCTTTGTTGGTATCCAAGATGGAGATCACCGGTGCTGGGGGTGGGGGTGGGGTGGCCTTCCCTCCTTTGCTCCCTGAGAAGGAGTGAGGACGTCGGGCTTCTACTCACGCCGAGACTTGGATCCTGGGTCGTCTCTGGTCTGCAAACTGCAGGATGAAGATGTCCGCTCCTTGTCGGTTCTTGCTGGTGTTGAGTAGAATCCTCTCACCCGCTGTGTCTGGCTCCTTCGTCCCGGACTCTCTGTGTGAGCTCTCAGGTATGGCCGCGGCTGCAGTCACCGCTGCGACCCTGCCGCCGCAGAAGCAGCTGCTGGCAGGCGCTCAGATGTGTCTGCTTGGCTTCCCCTCTCTTGACTAACTCTCTGTCCTGTGATGGCACACTTGGTGTGATTCTCTGGCTTAGGACTGTTCACTGGAACTCTAAAACTGCTTTCTATGCGAGAGTTTGTTCAGATTCCAGCTTCTCCTCAGCCATCTTCCCGGAACCGCCATAATCATTCTTTATTAACAGAATTGGAAATAAAAATATGAAAGCCTAAAAAAGAGATTGGCTGTATTATTTAATATAGCTTTCTTATGGTTCATCCAGGCAATGTATATGATAGTTTAGCTCCTGTTTATGTTGAATAGAATGCCTTGGTTGAACAAACACATTTTATTTTATTTTTTTATCAGTTAGGAATAGTTGGGAAGATTCTTAGTTTTACTACTGATAAGGATTCTAAGACTATTTCTTTACAAGTTTCTATGTGAAAATGAAATGCATTACTCTGGGATAAATGCCCCACCATGTTTTTTGAAATGTATTTTAATAGAGCTTTCAAGTTTAGAAAGCACTGTCCAAGTTCATATTTTTTATTGTCATGATGATGTACAAAGGGGTTATGGTTATATAAACAAGGTAATAAGTACATTTTTGTCAAATTGTTACCCAATTTCAAGGTCATTTTAACATTTCTGTAGCATTTTAAATTCCATTCAACAATGGATGAATATTCAGCTCCCCACCATGTTTAGCATAGTTCCTGTTATCTTTATCCTTTTTCATTTTATTTCCTCTCGAAAGTTTATGTAGCTTTTCTTCTGATGATATAGAAACTTGTGCCAGACCTCATTCAGGTTCATGGCCTAGTCCATAAACAGTTTCCTTCTGAACTGTACTTCCTTCTCCCAGAAAGATCCACAGGAAAGTCTTCCAGTATCCTCCATCCCTTGAGTCCGCAGCCTCATCTGTCAGGCAGAAACTCACAACCCATGAAGTGTAAGCCTGCCCACAGCTCTGGTTTGAGATCATTATTCCAAATTCTTCCATGGATTCTGTTGCCTGAGTCTATGTGGAGTGGAAATTCACAAGCCACATGGCCACATTTGCTGAAGCCAGCCCTGGAGCATACATCATGAAAATTTCAGGGGTTATCCTTAGAATCTGGCTTCTTTCAACCTTACTTGTGTCAATGATTTTGCGGCCTCTCTTTGTCAATCTATTAATGTGCCCCCTAAGTTTACCAGGTCGCTTTCACACCTATACAACATCCAGCTTCCTTCACCTTGTTTTATTTAGTACCAGTTTTGTCTGTTCTGCAGTTCACATGATAAAGGGAGAATGAAATAATGATTTTATAGTAACTTGAGGAAATAAAAGGAGAAATAATATAAATTTGTACCTTGTTTTAGAATGATTGGACAACATTTTTTTCTATTGTTTATTCAGAGTTTAGATGGTCAAAGCACCCTTGGCTTGTGGCCCAATTAAATAAATACACATATAGAAAAAAGTATGAAAAATGTGAATAAATAAAATACATTTAGGACACTTATGGGACTGTATAACAGGTACATATAAAATAGTGAACCATATAGCTTCAGTATTTCCAAGAGTAGTCTGAAAAGGGTCTTCCGTGTACCATACATATATAGAGCCATAAATTCATATTTAATAATCTAATATGTATTTTATACATGGAAATGTTTCTGGAGGGAAAAGGGTTGGATAGAGAAGCACAGAGTAGAAAGATAAAAGAGTGACATTATTCAAGATGCATTGTATTTATAAACTGACATGTTTAATGGTAACACTTTTTTTGCACAACTACAGAGAGATAATAAAAGTACAACTGAAAATAAGAAATGTGTATGGAGTTCTAAATTTCTTCTTTTCATGGGCACAGAACCTGGCACTTATTACAGGGTGAATTAGGGATGTTCATTCGGTCCAGCGGTGGCTGAAGTGCAAAGGTAGTACAGGCGCATGGCATCCTCAGCCCGGGCACTGTGTGACTGGAAAAACACTGCCTCCTTGTGGCCACACTTCTGGCATGGGTGGTCTTCAGCCTAAGGCAAAGTGGGGTCCTGGGACAGGTCAGCAATGATCTGGGTCAGCTAGTGCACTTCGTGCTTGATTTAGTTGACGTTAGATGTAGCTGCTGTCTGCTGCCTGCTGGTAGTCACAGTTCCGGCATACACACAGCAGGACGCGGTTCTCCTTGTCTTCCTGTGGGTACAGCATGTTGTTAAATTCCTGGCAGAAGCGAATGCCTACAGAGCCCGGCTTGTAGTACCCTCGGGTTCCATAGTTACACACTGACTGCCCAGCCTCCCCAGCTTCCCCAGCTTGCGCAGACTAAAGCTTTAAATTTCTTCACTCTCCTCTCTGCCCTTCTGTTTCTTTGAAGGTTATATTTGAACAAGATTGAATCTTTTAAGGTTTCTAATCGAGATTAGAAGTGATCTCATCAGTGTTGGGAAATGTACTTCCAGAAGAGACTGTGATGAGAGGAGTTCACAGCTGATGACCCAGTGAAGTCGTGGTCCAACTCACAGAATATATACAGAAAGGCACTTTGCATAGCAAGAGTTTCAGTCAAACTCAGTCAATGCAAAATGAAGTATTTATAGCATATATAAGGAACACTTCTCCAACAAAACTCCTTCTTGACACATAGGAAGCAACACAACTAAATATAGATGCAGTATTATTTTCTTTTCTACTCAGAATTTGTCCAGAAATCAGAATCAGCAGCAGAATCCCTGAGAGCATGCCACAAATTCAAAATGACAAAATCACCTCAGATCAACTGAATATATGCCAGCAAGTTAACAATGATCCATGTCACATTTAGGAATTTGTATTCAGATGAGTATAACAATACTACAGATACGATTTTTACTCCTCAACACATTTAAAAGCATTTTCATTTAAACCATAGTTCTCAGAATTTCTTTGTTTCTCTATCTCTGTCTCTGTCTGTCTCTGTCTCTGTGTCTCTCTCTTGTACATACAGATAAATGCGCGCACACACACACACACACACACACACACACACACACACACACACAAACACACACACACACACATAGCCCTGTACCAGTCCTTTATTATAACAGAGGAATTGACCTAAGCTCTGAATGAAGAAGAGTTTTGTACTCATTCAAGGCCAGTTCTGTCTGTGTCACAATAATATTCATAAATAGAAAACCAGATGCAAGTTGAGATGGACAAGCACATGGCTGTCTTCACTTTATAACAAGTGAATATTATGTGACTCATTTCATGAGAACAGTTTTAATACTCTCAAGGAATGGACAGCCAATGGTCTAATAATTTTCCATAAGGCACCTCTTCGCAGGGCTAAATTGGGTACGTTGTGGCATCAGCACAAGCCTTCTTCTCTATTTGCTCATAATTGCCAGGTGATGTTCTGCCTTACAAGTCCAGAATCTTTGGAGACAGGAACTAGAGACTGAAATCTCTGAGACAAATAAGCAAAAACCAGTTGTTTTGGATTGGGACTGAAGACCTTTAGAGATTGTATGTTAGCAACAATGAGATATGCAAGTCATTATGTTGAAAAACGAACTTAACAACTTTGGTAGGGAGTGGAGGGAGGATGGGGGGGGAGGGGAGGAGTATGGGAAGGGATGGGAAGGGGAAAGAATGAGGAGGCAACAATGCTTGATAAGAAATGTACTCATTTTCTTGCCCATGTAATTGTAACTCCTTTGTATGGTATTCTTACAATAAAAAATAAATTAAATAAAATAAATTTAAAAAGATTGTATGTTAGTTTAAAATAAGCACAATTATATATATATGTGTATATATATACACACACTCATCATGTGTATATGTATATAATTATATACAAGTATTTACACTAGGGCATTTCAAGTCAACACGTCAGTATGTGAGTGCAGTACATCTTCATCAATTTCACATTTCCATTACTCTAAAGAGAAAATTTTAAAGAATTATTAGATTAATTTGCTATAGAAATATAGTGTGGAAGAATGACAGGATATTAGTGGATACAAAAATTGTTACATTGAACATATATTCACACTTTCATGTATAAACATTTCTATCATTTTCCTTTTCCATTATAAAGACCATCAGGATAATACCTGTAAAAGAAAATTTTGTTCTCCCTGTCAATTCTTTATCCTAAATCTTAATAGGAAGTTCCTAGGAATCAGAGTTTCTAACACTTATAGCAAACATCCCTGAACAGATGGGAACTATGGTATCAGATGCATCTTCAGGTAGCTCAACTCTGTGCACTGATTGGTCAACTCCCTTGAGGATTAGTGCTGCTGGTGGTGACACTGTCTTTTTCTGGACTAGCTGAATTAGGTTCAGGGGAGATCAGCCTCAAATCTATTTCTTTCCTAGAGACTGTGTTGGACATAAACTTACCTATCACTGGGTCTCTGATGCTGATTTAGGGTGATAGGTGCATATGTCTCTTCAAAACCATACTTTCACAGTGGGGTCCTTCTTCCCAGTGCTGCAAGCATCATGGATTTTTATTGATTATTGCCAAGGATGTCACTTTTCTCAGAAGAGCAGGCCTTACCCTCCCCTAGGTTCTTCTCACACTTTTGCCCCAGCTGGCTATTTGCATATTGCTCCCTAAGGACAGCCTCCCATTCTAAGTCTGAAATAAAGGCTCAGCTCTGAACTTGCCTTGACCTGTCAAGACTCCTCATTTCACTCCTAAAAATGAAGTCCTTCTCTCAGGTCCTGTGGCTGTAAATGCTCTGGATCCCTCGTAAGAGCAAAGGGAAATGAGGAGCAAGAGTGGTTGGAAGGTATGCTCTCAGGGGCCAGTGGTGATCTATGCAAGTGTTAGATGTTCAGTTCTTGTTATCTATGATGGGGCAAGTGAGATTTAGGTCTGGGAAATAGAGAAATATTTCAGAAGGATCTAAAACTTATGCCTTGGTGAAGATTCTCCTTGACTTCTGAATACTCATTTATATTTAAAAATACCTTTATTTCTAATATGAATTATTTTATATTGTAAGCCAAACTATGAAATATGAACAATAGGTAATATATCAAAATGCAAATAAAAAGCATGCTTTTCTATGTTTGTACATAACCTTGCACTTCTGTCTTATTCTAATTTCAGGATCGAGTGGAGATGTTGTGCTGACCCAGACTCCACTTTCCCTGCCTGGCACCCTGGGAGAGCCGGCCTCCATCTCCTGCAGGTCTAGTCAGAGCCTCTTGCATAGCAATGGAAACACCTGTTTGGATCGGTTCCTGCATAAACCAGGCCAGTCTCTACAACTCCTGATCTATCAAGTCTTCAGCCTAATTTCTGAGTTTCTGGATAGATTTGGCCAGGGTGGGGTGGTGGGGGGTTGTTCCAGCAAAGATTTTACATGAAAACAGGGTGGAGGCAGAAGATGTTGGAGTTTATTGCTGCTTTCAACATACACATGTCCTACCACTGTGATACAGCCCTGAACTAAAAACTCCCTTCTGGCTATGTGAGCTGCCCTAAATCTTGCCCTTACCTCTTCCTATATAATTTTGAATTCGTGTTTGCCATGAGTTGAGTAGCCTCTACTAGATGGTCCAACATCATGATATTCTGCCTCTCCATAGGCCAAGGAAGCTAAGGATGGTGAACTGAAATCTCTGACACAATCAGCCCAAATGAATACTGTCTTTCTTCCCTTAGGTTGTTCCTGTCAGGTACTTGGGTTCAGACACACAAATATTAGGAACTCATCTATATATTCTGACTAACAATCTCTACTTTAATTAGGTAACAAGGATCCATACAAAGCTTCAGAAACTAGGCTTTAGCACATGCTTATTTTGGCTAAGAAGATCTTAACTTGGAAAAAATTATTTAGATATGCACAACTACTTATCAATACCATGATCTCAAGCCTCAAAATAATAATGGTTTTAGAAAGGTGAGGATATATCAAGACTAAACAATTACTAAACATTTTACCTATAATCCCCAAAGGTCACAGAAGGAAATAAGTGGATTGAAGTTGAGGCTATATTGGCAAATCATTATTACAACGCTCTCTGAATGAAATCTGAGCATTGTGCTACCATCTTATACTTATGGCGACAAGGGAGTTACAGAAAGATGGAACATGGTCTTACCTCTATCTGATAGACAAAACTAAAACAGAAAAAGCTAGGTGTATGGCTCATGGAGTGTGGGTGGTTGGGGAGCGAAGGGATAGTGGGACAACAACAAGGGAATGGGTAACAATGATCAACAAGTAATGTACTCATCACCTTACTCATATAACTGTAACCCCTCTGTATAGCATCTTTAAAATAAAATGAAATAAAAATAAAATAAAAAAGAATTGCTTAGCAAGCTCAAGACACTGCCATCTAATCTTTGGACTACAAACCCTCTAAAAATGTGCTCCTGTGTTGGGTATTTTGTGACCTTGTTCTCTAGATGTTGCTTATGAACTCTAGAAGTAACTCTTTGGCCACTGAGGAAGATCTAACAAAATCCATGTCAGAGGCAAACAGAGTGACCTGCAACACAAGAGCTCCAGTTGGATCAACAGTCATTAAGAGTGTGAATAGTCTTGAGTGGGTGGCTCATGCTTGTAAATCTTAACTACTCAGAAGGCTGACATCTGAGGATGTCAGCAGGAAAGTCCATGAGACTCTTATCTCCAATTATAACTGGAAAACCAGAAGTGGACATGTGGCTCAAAGTGGAGAGTGCCAGCCCTGAATTAAAGCTCCATGAGTGACCAGAAAAAAGTATGAATTGCTGATGAATATAAGTACTTGGGTTGTGTGCCAAAAAGTTTCTAGTGGTTCATTGCACATTATTTTCGTTAAAAACCAATTGCTTCACAATAGATGTTTACAAAACAATCGGAAACAGGAGAAATAAAAAAATCTACAAAATATACGAATAAATAGAATACATTTTAGTTCATTTATGGAAACATCCAAGGAATAGTCAGTACTATTACCCATATTACAGAAATATATAAAATAATAGTAATGTATGTTAATATATAATTGGAGCAATAAAATATGACTTCATACGTGCGATAAAGACATCAAATATCATTAAGTTCACAGTTAAAAATGAGTGGCATATGTCCCTATGGACCAGATGTCTTAAAACATCCATAAAGATTTGTTTGTTGCTGCAAACATACATATATGTGTGTATATTTATAAATATAAAGATAAAGATGCGTCATGTGTAGATATACACACACACAATCACACATACACTAACACAAATTATGAGGCTTACTTTGTCCAGAGCCTGTGCTAAAGACAGAAATGTAAGAATACAGAGCATGGAGACTTTTGAAGAAACTTATATATTGCTAATCTATATATTGCTAAATAATCTTATTTCTACACTTACCATTGTCATGAAAAGTTCAAGAAAACACAATTACTTTGAATGACTTTTTGTAGTAGCTCTTCTGCATTGACAAATGGGTAGGATAGCTTGCAGATTAAGAAAGTGTATTTCTGAACCTGTCTGTGAGAAACTCTCTGAAGAGAATTGACTGAGAGAGGAAGATCCACCTCATAGTCCACAGCTCCTTTCAATAGGATTCAGTCTCTTGCACAATAAAAGAGTGAGGAGGAGAAAGTAGTACATTCACTCTGCTTCTTGGGTGACATGATGTGAGCTCCACTGTACTCTGCCCACATGGCAGAGTAAAATTTTTAATCTAAGATTGAAATAAAGAATTCTTCCCTTTAAGTTGCTTTTATTAAGGTCTTGTCACAGCCATTAAAAGCTAAGTACACATCTTTATAAAATGTTCTAACTGGGGCTGGGAAGGTGGCTCAGTGGTAGAGCGCTTGCCTTGCATGCCTAAGGCCCTGGGTTCGATTCCTCAGCACCATATAAGCAAAAAGGAAAAAGCCAGAAGTGGCGCTGTGGCTCAAGTGGTAGAGCACAAGCCTTGAGCTGAAGAGCTGAGGGACAGCGCCTATGCCCAGAGTTCAGGCCCCACGACTGGACCCCCCCAAAAAATGTTCTAACTAACTTTGACCAATGATATAAGATGGATGCTGTACTGAGAGCATTTGGCATCACCATCTCTGGGTTGAGAGGGATGGCTATTATTGTAGTGGAAACTTTGGCAATTTGTTAGATAACAATATGGTGAGGTACATTTTTTTAAAGAGGGTGTGTAAGTGTGGGAAAATAAGTTTCTAAGTAGAGGGTGTAGAATAACATACCCAACTCATCTATTTAGCCTCAGGAGGATGAAATATGGATGTGAATAAGGCAGGAGAGCTGCAGGCCAGGAGGTGGGTTCAGAACACTGGTATCTGGGTGCCATATTCTTGGAGTAAGAAGAGAGTGGTAGCTCTTCTCTGCAGGAGGCAAGTGAGTATAGAGCAAGGTTTCCCCCTACAGGCTCCATGTACAACTCCACCCTTAAAACTGAGTTTCTAGACCCTTTGCCTTAAACTTTTCAATAGTTTGTGAACAAACCCACATCCCATGATAAGTGCATTGACGCTGAGTGCACTTAATATCTGTAACTAAGAACAGTGATGAATTCACACAGAGAGTAACAGGCTCCTTTTCTTCTAAGTATAATACTTTCCCAGCACACTGGCTTCTGGAAGTCAATACTAGTAACCTTGTCAGTCATCGGGACTAAATGACCAATAGACATAAAAGAAATGCAAATCAAAACAACATTGAGATTCCCCTCACCCCAGTAAGAATGGTTATCAACAAAAACTCTAATAACAACAGATGCTTTAGGAGATGTGGACAGAATGGAACCCTACAGCACTGTTGGTGGGAGTGTAAACTTGTTCAACCACTTTGGAAAGTAGTTTGGAGGTTCCTCAAAAGACTCCACATAGAGCTACTCTATGACCCAGAAGTCTCACTTTTGGGCATTTACCCAAATGAGCACAAACCAGACCAAACTAAAACTACCAGCACAACTATGTTTATTGCAGCACTATTTACCATAGCTAAGATATGGAACCAACCCAGATGCCCCTCAGTAGATGAATGGGTCAAGAAAATGTGGTATATTTACACAATGGAATTCTATGCCTCCATCAGAAAGAATGACATTGCCCATTTTTTAGGAAATGGAAAGACTTGGAAAAATATATTAATATATATTAATATATATAATATAATATAAAATATCTTAAGTGAAGTAAGCCAGGCCGCAAAACATAGGTCCAATGGTTTCCTTTATTTGCAATAACTAGTATATGTCTGAGACAAGCAGAAACGGTCAGATAAGTTGATGTTAGGCAAAATGGACCCCAAGATAAGGACTCAAATGTTTTTTTCTTTCTTGCTATTGTTTCTAACATATGTATGAGAAATTTCTTCCTTGCTTTGTAAGGTCCCTCTCCCATGGTATTATCCCTGTGCTCACTGTATTTGATGTTGGTATATTTTGTGGAGGGGAAGGGAAAAAACAAATTGTTTAAGTAGGGATACAGGTGGACCCACTGCAAAAATGAGATGTATAAGATATTATGTCGAAAAACAAAGTTTACAACTTTGGTGCAGGGTGGGGTGAGGGGTGGCGATGGGGGTGGTGGAGGAGATGGGAAGAGATGTTAAGGGAAACAAAGCAGGAGGTAACAATGCTTGATAAGAAATGTACTCATTAACTTGACCATGTAATTGTAACTCCTCTGTATGGTATTTTCACAATTAAAAAAAAAAAAAAGAAACAACTACCGCAGGGGGAACCACTGGTTCTCCCCATCTGCACTATGTCATGCATGAATAGTGATAGATTTTCCTTTACCACTTAAGCCCTCCACATGCCATGGGACCTATGTTTCTTTGTGCCTGGATTACTTAATTTAATATAATTTTTTCAAGCCTTTCAATTTCCTCACAAATGGGGCAATGTCATTCTTTCTGATGGAGGCATAGAATTTTATTGTATACATGTCCCACATTTTCTTGATCCATTCATCTATTGAGAGGCATTGGGATTGGTTCCATATCCTAACTATGGTAAATAATGCTGTGATAAACATGGTTGTTCTGGTAGCTTTGGTATGACCTTGTTTGTGATTGTTTGGGTAAATGCTCAAAAGTGGGATTGCTGAGTCATAGGGGAACTCTATGTGGAGTCTTTTGAGGAAACTCCATACTGCTTTCCAAAGTGGTTGAACAAGTTTACACTCCCAAAACAATGAAGTAGGGTTCCCTTCTGTCCACATCCCCTCCAGCATTTGTTGTTACTAGATTTCTTGATTATAGCTATTCTAACTGGGGTATGGTGGAATCTCAGCATTCTCTTCAATGAAATTGAAAGCAAAAATTCACTATCACACTCTTTTTATGAAACCAATATAACCCTCATCCAAAACCAGGCTGTGACTCATCAAAGAAAGAGAAAGATAGACCCATTTTTTTTCTGAATATGGTCGCAAAACTTCTCAACAAAATCTTGGCCAGCTGACTTCAACAACTCATAAAAAAATCATATACCTTGATCAAACTGGATTCCTTTTAGGGATGCAATGCTGGTTCAAAATATGCAAATTAATTAATAAAATTAAACAAGAGCAAGGATAAGAACCACACAATTATCTCAATAGATGCAGAGAAAGAACTTGACAAGATCCAATACCCCTTTATGATGAAAGCTCTGGAAAAACTAGGAATCTACGGAACATCCCTCAATACAATAAAGGCTGTATATGGCAAACCACCCAGCATTATACTAAATGGCCATTTAGGTCATACCAAGTCCATTTTCTCTAAATTCAGGAATGAGACAATGATGTCCATTCTCTCCAGTCCTCTTGAACCGAGTATTAGAATGCCTAGATCATGGGCCTCAAGCAAGAAAGCTCAGGGATCGTGCCCAGGTCCTGCAGCTGTTCCCAGCTCCTGAGGATTTGCATGTGCTCCCACACAAGCAACTGCCTGAACCCTTCTTCATGTTCTGCTCACACCCTGTGCATCAATCAATCCCAGTCAGCACACAGGATTAGTAAGGTCCCCTGTTAAGCTCAGGGGATCCTGCTGCTTTGACCCAAAGATAAAGAAGGCCAAGACTAAGAATTTATTGAGCCCAGGGTTAATAGAGATGCCTCACTCCTCATGGAAACTCCCAGAACATAATTGATTCTGTTGATATTTGGTGTCTGTTTTCAATATTAGGGGCCAGATGTGACATCCCCATTTCCCAGTGTCCATCCTCTCTGTGTGCATCTGTAGGAGACAGTCTCCATCACTTGCAGATCCAATCAGTGATTAGTGATGATTCACAGTGGCATCACCAGAAACAAGGCAATGCTCCTAAACTCTTGATTTATTAGTCATCCAATTTACAGTCTGGGGTGACATCCAGATTCAGTGGCAATGGATGGGGAAGAGAGTCTACTTTCACTATCAGCAGGCTGCATTCTGAAGATACTGCAACTTACTACTGAGTAATAAATAGTTCAGGAAGGTGGCTCAGTGGTAGAGCGCTTGCCTTGTATGCTCAAGGCCCTGGGTTCGATTCCTCAGCACCACATAAGCAAAAAGAAAAAAAAGCCAGAAGTGGCACTGTGGCTCAAGTGGTAGAGCACTAGCCTTGAGCTGAAGAGCTGAGGGACAGTGCCCAGGACCAGAGTTCAGGCCCCATGACCGGACCAAAAAAAAAAAAAATTGTTCAATACCCACGGTGATGCAAGACCAAATATAAACTTCCCTGGGGATGGAGGGAGCAAATTTGAGAGTCTGGCCTGACCCAGGTACTACTTCTGGTGCCTCTGCCTGCTGACAGTGCATCTCAGCCACAGCCAGGCTCTGAAGGTCACTGGGGGATTTGGTAGAGGGGCTCATTGACAACCTTCTCAATCTTGTCTGTCTTCCATCAGCCTCAGGAGAACCAACCAGATAATGCTTCTGGTGTCTTATAGAAAACACAGATCTTTACTTCTGAGCCTCTGAAATATGGTATCCAGGTGGATATAATTTGCAGTTTGTCACACAAGAGGTCTTTGCCCACCTTGTGCTCCCTTTACACTGCTGCATCCACCTGATAATTTGCATAGTGCTCCCTAAGGAGGACTTTCCCTTTTGAGTCTGAGATGAAGGCTCAGCTTGTCCTTGTCTTGTCCTATCAGGACTCTTAAAAGAGAATTCTTTTAGTAAGCTCCTGGGCTGCTAATGCTCTGGCTCACTGGTAAGGACAGAGGGAGATGAACAATGAAATCATGTAAATTGCAAGGAAATGAAGGAACTAGATCCTCATATTGAGTGACATAGGTCAGGATGCAAAAGCAAATTACTGTTTGGTCCTACTTACTTGTGGAACCCAGACTTAAATGGTGGTAGTCATGATGGTGGTGATGATGATGATGACATTGATGATGATAATAATAATAATATAACATGAATGCTAAAACGGAAAATATATGAAGGGAGACAGGTAAGGGTGAAAGAAAGGGAAAAAAGCTCACTAAGTGTAGAAGGTGAATTGGTATATAAATAAATAGATATACATATATATATACCCACATGAGCATTTGAGTTATGAAGTTCCTTTACACAGTATGAAGAATGGTAGGAGTGGGAGAGGAAGAGTATAGCAATAGAAAGGAGGTGGTGATTTTTTCAAAATAAGCTGCATTTAGGTAGAGTTCTCATCACAAACTAACATTGTGTTGTTAATATATGACAATTATAATTTATCCAAAAATAAAATAAGTAAAATGCCATGATTATGCAAATAAAACTACTGGGAATCTGCACAATTATTAAGAAAGAATGGTAAAACTCCAAATGAAAATTTTGTCATGGCACACATGGAATGTAGGACCATGTTTACAGAGGGGATTGTGTCTCTCCACCTCCACTTTGTAAACTGTTATCAAACCTGACAAGGATGACCCACAGTTTCTTCTAGTGAAGTCATTAAGGGCAGGTCAGAAAGGTGAGGGAAGGAGGGTGGACCCTGCAGATATGCAGCCCTGAAGGGAACATGTGCACACACCCTGTCCAGCTGTGGGAGGTGAGAGGGGGCTGCAGTGTCAGTCCTGTCCCCAGCAGTTCCCAAGAGTCCTCTGCAGTGATCAGGCCACTGATTGTCCTTAAAGACACAGATGGTGTCCTGAGCTTCATGATGTTAGGCTAGAAATATAACTGCTCATTGTTCCTAGCATTCTTTTTCAGTGTCAGAATTTAAAATGCTGAGTTAGACACTTAGAATTATATCAATTAATGTTTTAGTTTAATAGGTAATTTAGTACGTATAAACAATAGATATTTAAATTCTACATTCATTTGTGAAGTGCTCCTCTCTGTTCTGAGAGGAATAGACTTTTTCTTTGGACCCAGGACTCACTCAGGTCCATGGTCCAGACCATTAACACCTTTCTTTCCTGTATGCTCTTTCTTCTTTCTGGAAGACCCACAGAAATGTTTTCTTATGTCCTGCTTGGTCACCACCTCTTTCCTTGGTTTTCAGCCTAATCTCTCAGCCAGGTGGCTACATTCCTCATATCTCAGGGCAGTGTAATCCTACCTGCAGCTTTGATATGAGCCTAGTATTCCAACTCTTCCATGTATTTCAGTACCTGAAGTCTGTGCAGATTTCAAATTCACAAGTCCCATGCCACATGTCCACACATGGTGAAGGCAGCCCTGGAGTGTGGATCTGGAGAATGTAATGTGTTATTCCTAGAGCCTGGCTGATTCTAACCACACTGAAATAGATACTCTTGGGGTCTCTCTTCCTCATCATATTATTATGGCCCCTTGAATTTACCAGATGGCCTTCACAACTATAGCAGCCAGCTGCATTCTCCTTGTTTTATTTAGTACCAGCTTTGTCCTACAGTGCATGTTAGAGACACCAAATCCTCCCAGCAAGGGCAGTAGGAGCTATTCATGGGACCATGTGATAAGATTAGAAGTGAAATTAAAGATCAGTGAAGGAGGTGGGCAGATCTTTTAGGGAAGCTTATAAATCATCATCAAAATAGGGGAAAAGAGCATTGTAGAAGAATTATGTGAGCATGTGGTGCAGAGAACATTAATGTTTTAGAAGATGGAGGTCATCAAATCAAGACTCAGATGGAGTTCTGTTAGCAAACAGTACTGAAGAAAACACTTATTGAGTAATGAGTTACTCATGGTCTATTGGCTTTAAAGAGTAGTGTTATCTTTACACATCATCTATGTATTCTTCCAGTGGTATGTACCATGTGATCAGCCTGTTCATCTAACTCTGGTATGACAATTTACACAATGGGATGAAGTATGTCCACATGATAAGCTCTATGCGGGGACCTTCTTCATTTCACTTTGGCTTCACTGTCTGTGATTCCTCAGGTTAAAGATGTTCTTTACTAACTGGGTAGCACCAGTTTCTCAACCCCACCCTTTACTACATTGCAATTTACCATTTCTGTAACTATATGAATCACATCTCCTAAATACAACTTGTGAAATCTGCTTTATTGGTGGTCATGCCTATGATACTAGCTACAGAGGAGGCTGAGATATTATGATTAGGGTTGGAAGTCACCTTGGACCTAAAAGACTAGGAATCTCTGTCATCAGTTAAACACCAAAAGGTTGGAAGTGAAGCTGTGACTCATTAGGCACACTACCAGCCTTGAGCACAAAGCTCAGGGACTAAGCCAAGCTCCAGGCCTAGTACAGAAAATACTGCTTGCCTTAGGACCTAAAAGACATGTAACTTGAAGGACTATGCAGCTTAAGGAGCATAATGAAGTTTAAGTAGAGTTGAGTCTGCGGCCTAGAGAAAAACTCAGCTTCTGAGAATGAAGAGTTTCCATTAACAGATGAAACAAATGTCCTCTAAAAGTTCAGAAATATCTGGCACATACATGCGTAATACCCACAAATCTAGATATGATTCCAGGTATTTTCCTAAAACTAAAGAAGAAATTCCTGAGGTGAACTGCTCTAGAGGGAGGAGATATGGAAGAACATTCAGAAGGGAAGCAATCCAGTCATTTATATGAGTTCACAGGACACCAATGAATGCACCAACGGATTGTCCATAGACCTCTGATCGAGACACTTTATTGCACATATTATATTTTTCAGTGCGTCCTTCCATTAAATACTTTGAATACTGTTCATTTCTCTCTTTCTATCAATGCATCTATCTGTCTTTCTACCTACACATGTATTATTACTTTTATAACACACATATCTGTGTACTAAAGTTCACTATTAAACCATATAACAAGGTTCAGGCAAACAACTTGAATACTCTTAAGAATTCTGTGTCACAAACTCCACTGATACCAGAGTTAGGGGCATTCTAAAATTAATTTCTCTTGAAAATGTTTGTCTTTGAGTGACTGATTTTAGTGAAACAAAAACGAACGAAGTCATGGATAAGTTGAAAATGTTAAAAATTATATTTGGGCTTGGGAATTGAGCTCAGTGGAAGAGTGCTTACCTGGAAAGTTCAAGGCTCTCAGTTCAGTCCTCAGATCTGGAAAAAAATCTATTCTTATCACAGGCCAACAGAATCATAATATTTTCTTGTCTCTAGAAACACATTATCTACAAGCACATTGGACATCTGGGTTCCTCAGGACTGTGCTTTGTCACTGAGATCTGCCAGCTGAAGCTCTGACTTGCACTGCCCAAACCATGTTGATTTGCATGTGCCCAGAGCACAGCCCACTACACTGGGAACTTCTTCATAGGCTGCTCACACTCTGTGCAGGAGAAGTTCCAGTCAGCACACAGCATGGACACGAGGGCCCCTGCTCAGCTCCTGGGGCTCCTGCTGCTCTGGATTGCAAGTAAGGAAAAATGAAACTGGGGATTATTCATCCAGTGTTCAGCTGAGCTGCCTGCTGTTCATGGAAGTACTTGGACAGCAGAATTAATTAAACTGCTAATGGCTTTTATGTTTCCAATGTCAGGTGCCAGATATGACATCCAGTTGACCCAGACACCATCCCTGTCATCATCTCAGGGAGACAGAGTCACCATCACTTGCCGAGCCAGTCAGGGCATTAGCAGTAATTTACATTGGTACCAGCAGAGAGCAGGGAAAGCTCCAAAGCTCCTGCTCAGTTATGCAACTACTTTGCAATCTGGGTTCCCACCAAGGTTCAGTGGCAGTGGATCTGGGACAGAGTTCACTCTCGCCATCAGCAGCCTGCAAACTGAAGATGTGGCAACTTATTTCTGTCAACAGAATTATAATTTTCCTTCTACAGTGATACAAGCCATGACAAAAACCTCCCAGAGAAGCAGAAGTGAGAGGCTGGGCTGCCCCAGCTGCTCCTCCTGGGGCCTCTACCTGCACAACTGCCTCTACTCTACACAACTTCTCAGATGCAGCCAAACTTTAAGGTCACTGGAGAGAGAGAGAGGTCATGGAGGCATTTGCACACCCTAACTCTCTGTCCTCCTGCTCATCCCAAGCAGCACACACCTCACAACGACTCTTCTGACTTTAAAAATCTCTGATCTATACTCATGTTTCACTTAAATTGTGCTAACAATTTGCAGCCACCCAAAAGAAAGAGCCATTTTAGGTATATCAAACCAAGTTTTTAAAAGCAAGGCAATAGAGCTTTAGAAAAGATTTTGTTTTTAGATTATAAAAAATTCATCAAGTCTTGAAACATAAAGCAGATTTCTTGATTAAAATGGAAAATTTCCAGTTCATTGAGAGATACATCCATGAGTTACCATATATATGCATATATACACAGATATGTATGTGAATACATATATACATATATATATGAATTTTTATATAATATCCAGTAGCAAAACATAAATAGCAAATTTACCTAATCCCTGTTACAGCCATGGTCTGATTTGTAACATATTTCATTCAGCTGCCAATGGCTCTGAGGATACCGAGCAGAGCATATCTTCTGAGACCCCACTCAGCTGAGCCTACAGCCCACAAAGCTCTCCCCTTGCAGGCCTGTGTTGGTCAGTCGTGGGGCTTGTACTCTGCACCTGAGCTCTGACCCTCAGCTCTTCAGCTCAAGGCGAGTGCTCTCCCACTTGAGCTACAATGCCACTTCCAGTTTTCTAGTGGTTTTTATTGGAGATTAGAATCTCCCAGACTTTCCTTCCCAGGCTGGCTGTGGACTGTGAGTCTCAGATCTCACCTCCTGAGTATCTAGGATTTTAGGCTTGAGTCACCGGCACCCGGGTAAGAAGCAGTTTTCACTGTATTTGATGATGGTATATTTTGTGGAGTGGAAGGGAAAAAACATTTTGTTTAAATAGGGATACAGGTTGATCCATTGCAACAATGTACAAGATGCTTTGTGGAAAAATAAACTTTACAATTTAGGCAGGCGTGGGGCGGGGAGTGTTAGGAGATGGGGGAGTACAGTTGTAGAGATGGGAAGGAAGGGATAGTAGGGGAAAAACAACGGAGGAGGCAACAATGCTTGATAAGAAATGAACTCATCCTCTTGCTGTTCTTTTCTAGCTCTCTCTGCTCTTTTCTAGCTCTTTCCTCTCTCTTTCCTCTCTTTCCCAGCTCTCTCTCATTCCCAGGCCTTTCCCAGCCACATGGACTGCCAACCTTGCCTGGTCCCAGCAGGTCTACTGAATAAACCTACCCCTTACCTGAATACCATGTGCGTGGTGCTGTTCTTACTCGGCTACCTCTGAGGAAAAACCTAACAGTCTCAGATATGTACTAGTTATTGCAAATAAGGGAAACCATGGAACGTATGTTTCTTTGGGTCTGGCGTACTTCACTTTTTTCCATGTCTTTCCATTTCCTATCAAATGGGGCAATGTCATTCTTTCTGATGGAGGCATAGAATTCCATTGTGTATACATACCACATTTTCTTGATCCATTCATCTACTGAGGGGCATCTGGGTTGGTTCCATATCTTAGCTATAGTAAATAATGCTGCAATAAACATAGTTGTACTGGTAGCTTTAGTATGGTCTTGTTTGTGATCATTCGAGTAAATGCCCAAAAGTGGGATTGCTGGGTTATAGAGGAGCTCTATGTGGAGTCTTTTGAGGAACCCCCATACTACTTTCCAAAGTGGTGGAACAAGTTTATGCTCCCACTTCCAGTGGTGATTGCCTAAGTCCCAGAGCTAACTCTCACTGGACTGATTGATGTCATTTTCTCATTCCTTGACCAATCGCTCAGTTTGGAGGAGTGGAATGTGATGATTGGCTGATTTGTGATCTATGCTCATATAGTTCTGAGAGGTGGGGTTCACACCACATGTATCACACAAACTAGGAGTAGGGTTGGGATGCTGTTTGTAGAAAGATTCTAGGCAGTTGAAAATTGGCGTACTTTCCAAATGTCATGAACTGTAGAATCCCTTTGTTGTTGAGATTTCTACACAGAACAGAGCAACCCTACGTGAACTAATCCCAAGTATCTAATAATATTCATAATCATTTGTTGAGGTTCTTAATTAATTTTGATGAAGTTATTTGTAAACAAGTTTGGAAGATGTGCTGCCCTGCCTGATTTTTGATCCTCCCCCACCCCCGTCCCCTGCCTGCAAGTTTTGCCATATTGACAATCACAGAGAATACAATTCTTAGCAACACCAAAAAAAAAAAAAAAAAGATATGTACTCATTACCTTGTTTATGTTTATGTGATTGTAACCCCTTTGTAGAATATTTTAACAATAAAAAAACTAATTTTTTAAAAAAAGAAGTTGTTTGGAGACAGTGAAAAGAAAAGATAAACAGAAATAGGAAAGGAACAAGAAGGAAGCCTCTATCAGTCAACTGACCTAACCTCTGAATAATGTTTAAGTCAGTTTTAGATATAGAAAATTCTAGATGAAGTAGTCTCATCTGCCTCTACTCAGGTGAGGCCTGTCCTGTCTGTCGAACATTATGGTATATTAATGTAAAGAGAACAAGTAGTAGCTGGGCTCTGGTGGCTCATGCCTATAATCCTAGCTACTCAGGAAGCTGAGATCTGAGGTTCGAGGTTTAAAGCCAGCCTGGGCAGGAAGAACATAAGAGTCTTATCTCAAATAAGCCACCAGAAAACTGGAAGTGGCACTGTAGCTCAAGTGGTAGAGCACTCTCCTTGAGCTGAAGAGCTGAGGGACAGTGCCCAGGCCCAGAGTTCAAGCCCCATGACCAAATAAACAGAAAAACAAAAAAATAAAAACAAGCTGCAATTAAAAGAGTTTAAACATATGGTTTATAACAAGCAACTACTGTGAGAAATGACTCACTTCATGAGAGGAGATATAGCCCTTCTGAGAACAGGACCTCCAATGAATTGATCACTTCCCACAAGGAGGCTCTTCAGTTGACCATGTGGGGTCTTCTGGAGCAGCACCAACTTCCTTCTCCACGTGTTCCTTCTTACCATGTGATGTTCTGCCACATAACGGAGCAGAATCTTTGGAGACAAGAAGTAGGGACTGAAGTCTCTGTGACAAATAAGCAGAGACTGGTTAATTTAGACTGGGAATGGAGACATTAAAAGATTTTATGTTAATTTAAGATAATCAGAATTATATACCTATATTTGTCTTTACATAGTTTTAAAAAGGGGGTTAAAAACATAACGGTATAGGACTGGAATACATATTGATCACTTTCTCCTTTTACTCTCTAGAGGGAAGATTTAAGAAACTGTGAGCTATTTGTTGTGCAAATACAGTATGGAAGATTAACAGGTCAGATAATGGATTTTAAAACTCATTACATTGAATATATAGTCACACTTTGAAGTAAAACTTTATAACATTTTTCTTTTATCCTTTTTAATTTAATTTAATTTTGTTGTAAAGGTACTGTACAGAAGGGTTACAGTTACATAAGTAGGGTAATGAGAACATTTCTTGTTAAATATTTTTAACCATTCCTTCATCTCTTACTAACCCTCCACCCAACCCACCCACCCCAAAGTTGTAAAGTTCATTTCCAACATAGTGTCCTGTAAGTATCACTGTTGCATTGGTCACCCTTTGTCCTTGTTTCACCATTTTGTTATTCTACTTCTCTTCTCAAGTCATAGAAACGTGTATAAAAGATGCATAGTACCAGAATATAAACTGTGACTACAGGGGATAAGCCAAAGGGAAATTCAAAAAAGATATAATAAAAAGAAGGAACTTGATACAGTATAGAGACCACAACAAAGTCATCAAAAAAAAAGACCTCTTGTTTCTATATCTTTGAGCTCATTTGGAATAGCATCATTTTATATGGTGATATGTACATAGCTATTGATCTTTTGTGATTGTCTGCAAGGACTATACTAGACATATATTAATTATTACAAATGAAGGAAACTATGGAGCCTATGTTTCTTTTGATCTACTTACTTCACTTAACATGGTTTATTCTAAATCTTTACATTTTCTTGCAAAGGGATTTGTAGGGCTCCTTTACCCAGGTGAAAACTTTCTAAATAAAGATCAAGAAACACAACCAATCAAAGAATGGATGGATAAATGGTATCATATTAAGCTGAAGAGCTTCTGCATGGTAAATGCCATAGCCAGCAAGATAAATAGAAAGCTCTCAGACTGGGAGAAGATATTCAGTAGCTATACAACAGACAAGGCCTCATATCAAAAATATACCTAAAGCTCAATAAACACCCCTCCAAAGAAATAACCAGCCCATTAATCATTGGGCTAAAGAATTAAATAGTCTATTCTGGAGAGCAAATAAGAATGGCCAATAGACACCTGAAGATAGGTTCAACATTTCTGGCCATAAGAGAGATGCAATTCACAACCACATTGAGATTCCACCACACCCCAGTTACAATGGGCATTATTAAGAAAACAAATAATAATAGATGTTGGCAGGGATGAGGCCAGATACTACTCTGATAGTGGGAACATAACGTGATTCAACCACTCTGGAAAGCAGTATGGAAGTTTCTCAAAAGATTAAACCCAGAACTCCCTACAATCCAGCAATCCCACTTCTGGGAATTTACTCAAGTGACCACAAACAAGGTCACATTAAAGTTACCAGCACAACTGTATTCCTTGCAACACTATTCACCATAGCTAAGATATGGAACCAACACTGATGACCCCCAATAGATGAATGGATCAAGAAAATGTGATATCTATCTATCTATCTATCTATCTATCTATCTATCTATCTATCTATCTATCTATCTATATATATATATACATCTGTACACATCTATATCTATCTATCTATCTATCTATCTATCTATCTATCTATCTATCTATCTATCTATCTATCTACACTGGAATTCTATGCTTCTGTCAGAAAGAGGAGAATTGTCCTTTAACCTTATAAATAAGTGCATTTACATCACTACTAGTAGCA